TCATGTGAGAAGCGTACGAAGAGATTTGAACCCTTGATCATTTTTTATCACACACCAACCATGAATTGCGTTTTAGAAGAGAATTAATTTGGTGTATCTCGGTGCACCTCGTTAATGTTAACATTCAAATAAAGACTGATTCAAAGGTGAAAATCTATTCATATGTTTCTCACTATAGTTTCTCTTCTCAACGGAATATGATCATATATATATATATATGTGTGTGTGTGTGTGTGTGTGTCCATATATATGAATTTAATCATTTGAGAACCCATATATTATGATAACTGTGAGAACTATTAGCATATGGTGTTGTTTCACATAAATTTTACCATATAAGGTTAGAATTTAATATAATGTTTAAATATATTTGTTTCACAATGTGTTTGCTTCATATATAATTAGTCAGAATGTGAGACTTTTTAATGGTATTTTTGTTTCGTAAACACATGAAAAATGTTCATATTATGAAACAAAATATATATTAATCAATATACTAAGTCCAAGTCATACAAAAATCATATGAAACAATACATGTGCACTGGTTTTCAAGATTATCATAATTTTATGGGATGAACACACACACACACACACACACACACATATATATATATATATATATAGTTGGGTTCTGGTAAGAAAGAGGGTTAACATGAAAAACATAAGAAGAGATCTTCATTCCTAAATGCACATTATGATGAGATGCACCAAGATACACTGAATCAATCCTCGTATTTAGCGTGATTCATGTTTGAGTTTGAGATTAAAGGTGATCAAAGGTGCAGATCTCTTCTTACACTTCTCACATGATCATTTGCACACAGACACACACACACATATATAATTTATATGACAAATGATCATGTGAGACGGAAAGTTGTAATAAGAAAAGATCTGAATTCTTGATAACTTTAATCTCATGTTCATTCATAAATTATGCTTTAGAAACGAAATTGATTTAGCGCATCTATGTGTATCTTATTAATGTTGACATTCAATTAAGATTAATCCAAAAGTGAAGATCTGTTCTTATGTTTCTCATCACAACTTTCTTTCTCATCGAAACTCAGCCTCAATTTATATTTACTAGAAGGGTACTCGTGCAACACAGCGAGATACATGTTGATTTTAATATTTCATTTTTTTTATCTCAGTTGATGTTATAATATGGTTTTATGTAATTTTGAAAAAAAACAATGGTGTTTTTTTTCAATAAAATATAAATTTGAAGATATCATAAAATTTGACAAAAATATATATCAATTATTGGTATCAAACTAACTATTTAAAATTTCTCATTTTTTGTGTAATTTTTTAATTCAATTTTTTTATTATAACTTAATTAGGTTCAATAATGAAGTAATTTATATTTGGTTTAATAATATAATTTTCTTAAAAGATAATAATTAATTATTTTGTTAGAACTTTATAATTATCCTAATTATATTTTAGATTTTTTAGATTTTAAATAAGATATTTATCCTGTATTTGATTATGTATATCCGCAGTTAATTATACAAATTCAAACATGAAGTTTTAATAAGTTGTAGTTATGCATAATTTACTTGTAATATTGAATTTTTAAGTAATATGCATCAAGATACAATACTTCATGCATAAAAAATAAATTTTAAAAGTTTTGTTAAATGTTTTATAATATAGTATAAATTATATATAAAAATATTAATTTAATATATAATATATTTAAAATAATTTGTAACAGTAAATTCTATACGTTCGCCGTCCAAGACAAGAATGGAAACACAACAGGCACATTGGTTTTTTTTTTTTAAATTGTAATATTAAATTGTTTTAAAAGTAATTAAAAAAAAGGAAATTGCTGAGATGTTCAACGTGGCCAATTATTGAATGAAATAATTAAACCTTTATAAATAAATATTATAAAACAAACTCAAATGTAAAATGATTACCGACGCCATTGAATTACTTTGTAAATTTTTTATTTATGAGAAATACCAAAATTTTATTTAAATTAATTATCATGTCATTTAATTTAGTTTTTCGAAAATTATTTTAAATATATATTTTAATTTTATATTTTTAACTCGTGTATTAATTATTTGTACAGTACAAGTTTATGTATTAACTACTTGTATCATACAACGTTATCGCCCACACGACATTTTTACCCCTTCCATGCCGTGGGACTCCTGCCATTCATGGTCGTCGTTAGCTAGCAACCTTCTCACCTATTTTTATATATGTTTTTAACTTCAAAATCTGTAAGTACAACTAATCTTGAGTGTAAAGAAGTTTCTTTTTGGCAAATTTAATTACAATTAAATTTCTAACTTGTGAATTTACTATTTGTACGGTACGGTTTTTGCATCGATGACTTGAATTATGCTAGAGATGCACAAAAAACGAAAAGTCTGAAGCTTGGTATAAACCTGGTTGGTAAAAGCATGGACGTAGTAAGTTTGAGCCCAAGCCCGACGCTAACGCCCATCCAAACCAACTTCTTTTTCTGGGGGCGAAGAAAGCTGGTCCTAAAATATCCCAGAACCCGTGTGAAAAAACTAGATCGAACCCTGTTTCAACCCAAAGCTTGAGCCGAGTGCGAAAAACCAAGGCTCTTTTTCGCTTAATGAAAATGAGGCTTAATTAAAATCAAGTTAAATCATGCATTGCGAATGTAAAAAAAAAAAGTCTTGATGTTGATATGTATGTTTTTAGTCTGATTCCATTGTTTCGAGGGATTTCTAAAGTATTCTTGGTTATTTCAAGGGATTTCTAAGTTTTTTGTCGGTTGCAAGAGACTTTTCGGGTTTTTGGTTGATTTCGAGAGTTGTTTTTTTTTTTTTTGGTTTTTTGGGTGATTTTGATGTACTTTTTTTTGTTGATGGGTTCCCAAACGAGAAATTATCAGAGAGAACACATGGTAAAAAGTTAAAAAAACGCTTACCCAATAAGATTAATGATGGTGATGATCTTGCTGGTAAGTATTAGCAGGTAAAATCAAACGGCTCCTAAGTAAAATTACTAATCTATCCCTGTATTAAAAATAAAAGTTTTGTGATATAAGCGATTTTTTTTCTGTTTTTAACATAAATATATTTATAAATACAAAAAAAAAAAAAGATTTTATCATTTATAAAATAATTAATGGAAAATAGGGTCATTTTCAGGTGTTGGTTAAGGGTCCAATTGAGGAGGGTAAATAGGACGTGGATGGCTAGGAACAATCGCCCTTTATTATGCTCCACAACATTCTGACACGTCTATATGCATATATATAATGTATGTATGTATATATATATATAATGTATGTATAATATTCTTTAAAATGTATAAAAAATAAATATAAAACAATGTACGGAAAAAAAACATAGTTGATTAACATTAAAATTAGTTAATTATTGTGATGTTTGAAAATCTAAATTAAATCATTGGACAATGATATATTAACTTTAAAGATAAGTAAAGTTTATTCATTTTTTCATGTGAGTCCTCACAAGTTCCACGTCGTACACCAAATCTGAAGGGATGAAATGGATGGTCGCCGACGTGACGAAATAGATGGGGTGTCGACGGGATACGGTCGTGGGTATATCGGCCGAATTAGCATCATCAATTGTTTCTTGTTGATATGTATATGCTAACCATGATCACGAACCAATTTTTTTACTGATTTTACACCATCGATCTGCGTTAATGTTCAACAACCGATTTGTTCCTGGGTTCTATTGAATCACCAAGAAGAAGGCATCATTTAGGGGTTCTGATTTTTGATTTAGGTTGTACGGTTATCTTTGATGTTCTCGATGAAGAATATGGAGAAGATATTATTGATTGTGCAAGTGATTTTGGATTTTCATTTAGGGGCCGTTTACTAAAAGCTTACCCGGTAAGTAAGGGTCAAGAATCTTATCTGGTAAGAATGAGGATAAGGATGGAGAGTCTTACCCGGTAAGTGAATGTGACGACTCTTACTCGGATAAACGCTTACCAGGAAAATTGTTGCATGGAATACGTTTTGATGTACTACAACCTTACCCAGTAAAATAAATTATAGTATTGACTCCTAACGGTAAACATTTATCGGGTAAGCATTTAGGTAAACAACCCATTAAGGTGGTGAAGAAGACGAAGATTCAAGATTTAAATATTATTAATTAAAAATAAATAAATATTTTTTAAAACAGGAATAGTTTTTTTTTCTTCCAAAAACCAAGGGGAAAAAGAAATATATTCATAATCTATTTTGTTGTTGTTAATGGGGAAACATAATATTCCAAAAACAGCAGCATATTCCAAATTGTCACAATCACTAAATGATGCATTTTTCTCAGATATTTATTATATTTTTAGGGCTAATTATAATTTTTAAGGTGTTTTTTTTTTTTTTTTATGACGATGACTTTATGAGGAGCTTATTCGTTCAGATTAATCCTTGACGATTATAAATGACTTAATTTATCATAGATGAATCTCTATGACTACAAGGGTTTTGACAACACCTAGATAAACTAGTTAGATTAAAAATATAAAAAAATTATTGATATTTGTATATTTTTTTGTATGATTAATTATAGCTTATAATCATATATTTCTTTTAAAATGGCCGATTTCGTGTTTCGACTTTGTCATCCGGATCAACGCACAACACAACCGAATTGTGCTATGGATGCTAGTTTGGGGTCTTATTCCTTAATGTTCAGTGGATGTTTGATGGAATATGTGTTCTCGAGGCTCATTCAGCATGATGGAATATACTCGTTTGTTTGATCGACGGTTTCATTTATGCTGTGTCGTGGATCGTGTTCGTCCGTGTTTACGTTGAACGATGAAGACGACATTACCTAATATTGATACCGTCCCCTAATCTAGACATAAAGGCAAATACAAAACACACATGAAACAAGAACGGCCGAACAACAGAGAATCAAAAATGGTGGCATCGTCAGTCGTCACATGTGATATCGATGTTATAAAGGTCGACTTTAATTTGCCAATACTCTCTTTCTATAGGGAAAAAAATGGTGAGCAAAGTCGTGATCGCCATTGTTGTAGCTATAGGTGTGATGATAGTGAGGAAAGTACTAAATTGGGCATGGTTGAAGCCAAAGAAGCTAGAGAAGTGGCTGAGAGATGAAGGGTATAAAGGTAATTCATACAAGGTTGTAGTGGGTGACATGGAAGAGCTTTCAACCATGATGATGGAAGCTAAATCAAAGGCCATGCCAATCACCCACGATATTACTTCACATGTTCTTCCCTTCGATCACCACATCATTTCCAAATATGGTATTTTTAATTACATACATACATATATATATATATACATACATACCTACCTAACTTGTTGTTTGATAGGGAAAAGGTCATTTATGTGGTTCGGGCCGACCCCAAGGATTTACATCACGGACCCGGAACTGATCAAGGAGATATTATGGAGGCCCAATGAGTTCCAGAAGCCGCACCCTGAGCCGATACGAGATAGCATCATCGCGGGACTTCTAGCCTCCGAGGGTCGGAAATGGACCAAACATCGTCAAATAATCAATCCCGCTTTTCATCTTCAAAATATCAAGGTTCGTTTGTAAAAGATTTCAAAATTTCTTATTTTTACCACTTTGACCTATAACTTGCTGATCTTGTAATATTTGATGATGTGACTGTCAAGTTATTGTCCGCTTCACCATAGCATTTTTATAAACATTTTGTAAACAAGTATTCACGTCATCAAATGTTCAAGATCAATAATTTACCTGTCAAAGGGTTCAAAATAGGAAATATTGAAACTCTGTGACATCGATTGAGAATCAAATTTATTTGTTTTCACCATGAAAATGTAATGAAATTTATTGGGTTGATGGGGTGCATAGAGTATGTTCTCATCGATCTCTTTGAGTTGTAGAGATATGAACGACAAATGGCAGCTCCTGACTGCCGAAACGGGAGTCATGGAAGTCGATGTGTGGCCATTCATTGATAACTTGGCCGGAGATATTATTTCACGAACGGCGTTCGGTAGCTGTTACGAGGAAGGACGGAAGATATTCCGAATCCAGAAGGAACAAACCTATCTCGTGATCCAACGATTGCTTATGCTCTATCTTCCAGGAGGAAGGTAACCACCATCAGACGGTAGATTTTACCATCTGATCCAATCCTGTTAAGATTGAATGACCGGTCAAATTCAATCTGGTTGAATGATTAGATCAGATCGGTTCCATCTATTGAACTTCTCTCTCTCTCTCTCTCTCTCTCTCTCTCTATATATATATATATATATATTTGATCGTAATTAATTGGATCGTTTCGGTTTTTTTTAAGTATATAATATTTATATACGACAAATGCAACAAATAAACTCATACACCCTCCTCACCTATGGTGAGGTTTGAACCCCTGACCTCCTAGAAGGCCAAGGGCTACGATACCGCTAAGTCAAAGGCCCTTTGGTTCGGTTTTATTGGATTATGTAGTACCATCCAAGAACTGAATGCTCCAATTTGGATGTTGAAATGCTAAATTTAATTTGATTCGGTTACAGGTAGATATTTGATTATGGATCGTCGGGTTTAATTGGTTTTGAGTTGATATTCGTTTTGGAATGTAGGTTTATACCTACGAAAGCGAACAAGAAGTTTAAAGAAAACGACAACAAGCTTAAAGTTATGCTACGAACCATAATCGATAAACGAAAGAAAGCAATCGATATCGGAGAACATGGTGACAACGACTTGCTCGGGATTTTGCTAGAATCAAATTCGAAAGAGATTGAAGAAGACGGAATTGGAATGAGCATGGAAGATGTGATCGAAGAATGTAAACTATTTTACCTTGCGGGATCAGAAACGACCTCGAATTTGATCGTTTGGACCATGGTTTGTTTGAGTTTGCATCAAGAATGGCAAATCCGAGCTCGACAAGAGGTTCAACAAGTTTTCGGTACCGAAGAACTAAATTTCGATGGCCTAAAGCATCTCAAGATTGTGACGATGATACTGAACGAGGTTCTTAGGCTATACCCGCCAGCGGTGATGGTTACTCGAGCTACTTCAAAAGAGACGAAGCTCGGAAACATGATGATACCTTCAGGTGTGCACATAACGATACCAATAATCTATGTCCACCATGACCGCGAAATATGGGGCGAAGATGCGACGGAGTTCAAACCGGAAAGGTTCTCGGAAGGAGTTGCGAATGCGACAAAGACCGGAGGACCGAGTGCCTTTTTGCCGTTTACGAGCGGTCCTCGGGTTTGCATTGGCCAAAACTTTGCTATGATTGAAGCGAAAACCGCCATAGCGAAAATTCTCCAACGTTTCTCCTTCCAACTTTCGCCATCTTACACGCATTCTCCTTTCCCCGTGTTCACTCTTCCACCCCGGTTTGGTGCTCACTTGATTTTACGTTCTATTTGACGATAGAAGACATGGTACCCAATTTTCGAATGGTATATATTACGTTTTTTGTTTGGTTTGATTTGATTTATCTGCCAATCAACATAATGATTTATCTGCGTTTTGTAACGATAAATAATGATTAAACGTAATTATTGTGAAATAATCGCTGCTTGAAACCCATAATGATACGAATATAAATCATAATTTTAAAAACCCACCATTATCGTGATGAAAACTCATTTATCAAAACGTTCATTTATTCATGGAACCAAAATCCAATACTCACTCAAAAGTGAAATGGGATTAAATGCCCAAAATATAAACAAGTTTCGATACTCAAACAATAAATAATGGAGAATACTCCATATCCGACACGTCAAAGAAAACATGGATAAAACTCAATACCTAAAATAACACATTTCGGTAACAGGAGAGACCCGATTTTCATGGTTAGTGACGGAACACAAAAGTGGACCATTCCATGTTATAAAGCTTATCCTGAGGATCAGTGGCTCTAATGGGATCAATTGTTCATGATTCATAGTTCAAGGCCCCCAATTATTCCAGGTACACCCATCCACTAGAAATTACATCACGTGGCCATGGCTAGTATCCGGCTCACATAAGACCGTTCCATGTTCCTCCGATGACCCAATGCCTATTTCTAGCTACAATACGGGAATAACCACCCCATTAAATTGACTCAGGAATTACAACATGGCCGCACCAAGAAGTTGCCCGATCCTTGCCAAGTCGTCCGGTCGGCCTCCTGACCATTCCTTGATCGTTTTCGACCGTCCCTTGACAGTTCTCGATTGTTTTCCCAATCGTCCTCCCTACCATTTTCCCGGTCGTTACTCGAACGTTTTCCCAATCGCTCTCAAAAGTTATGGGTGTGACACACAACATCCACCATCCACTTCAAACACACAAAGCATCACAAAAATAAAATAAAATCAAACATACAATCACAAACATTAAACATAAACAACATTTTTATTTCAATTCATTCAAAATAAATGCATGATACAAACCCAAAAGTTGAATCCTTAACCCATCTCGATCTTCAAGGTTCCGATGGAGGAGATCTCGATATCTAGAAGTTGTTCTATGGTTTCGAAGATGACGATGGAGGAAATGCGGACCATTTGCCCTCAACCTTTAGATGTATGGATTTCGACCTCCAAAAGCCATTATCTGGATCACCATGGGTTAACACAGTTTGCTCTCGATCTCCATAGGTTATCCACATGTTCGATCTAGATCTCCATAAATGTGTATACACTATATAGACACATTGTTTAATTTTAATAGAAAACGAGTTAACAGTAAAAAGACCAAACTACCCCCAGATAACAATTTTATAACCAAGTTAGAGACAAGGGAACCCATGGTATAACAAAATGTAAACCACATGAATATTTTCCATAATTATTTCATTTTAGGAACACATAGTGTTATTTTAGGTAAACAACAAGGACCAAATATGTAATTCACTCTAAAAAAAGAGTAGATTACATTTTTCGTCCATGTAGTTTGTAAAAAAATCGATTTTTGTCCTTATGGTTTACAATGAGATTTTCGTTTTTATGGTTTGCTATTCATTGTTGTTTTCATCTTTATAAATTACAAAATATAGGGATGAAAGTCGTAATTTCTAAACTATAAGCATAAAAATTGTAATTTTTAACAAACTACAGGGACTAAAAACGTAACTTACTCTAAAAGAATTCGTAATATAATACATAGTGTCTGCAAATTCTACAAATAAATGAACTGAAATTTGACAAAAAGAAGGTCAAAGATACGAAGAAAAGGTCAAAATCAGAGCATAATCGATTAAACTAACCGATTGGTTTAATTCTTGCAATGACACGTTCGATTGCTCCATAATCAGCAAGAAGAGCTTATTAAATAAGCCACAATGGGTCAGTTAAACGAGTCCATTACTCCATTAATTTATTCCAAAATCACCACTTGCTGATTCCATCTCATTTTCATTTCATTTCCATGGTTGGATTTTGATTTATATGGAATGGAATTGACAATTGCCACATTCTAAATTGTATTCCCTTTTCGAACTTCGATCCAATTATAGGCGATGCATTATTACAATGCTCCGTCGTCCTCGATGTGTGTGTTTCCTTGGCATTTTTCCTAGGGTTACTACTGTTGATTACTATTGTATCGTGATCCTATTTACTGGGGTTCTCTTTTTTATGAATTGGGTTTCTAAGAAAGGTTACATTTATAGATCTGGATGAAGGTGGGTTTGCTTTGAAATCTTCCTTTTGTTGATTTTGATGTTTTATAATGAAACAGTGTTTAAGAACTTATCAGGATTGAATATCACGCGCAGACGGGATGGATGTAAAACAGGCTTCAATCATTCATCATGTGGGCATTGTGTTGCTTTTGATTTGGTTGCTATCTTCATTCGATTACTGCCACCCATTGGTCTACTTCCTTTCTTTCATCTATCTCTATATGGTAATGGTAAAGCTTATTGTAGCATTAATGTGTGTGTGTGTGTGTGTGTGTGTTTGAAGTTGTTCTTGGTTTAGATATGAATCGTTTTCAAATTTGTGTTTTTGGGATGTATTTTTCAAGGTTCATGATCGTTATGCAATGAGGTTTAGAAGAAGGGTACACTTTGAGGAGAGAAAGCATGCCAATCAAAAGAGGGTGAAATCTCTTGAACCTTGACTATTAGTATTGAATTACTAAAAGGAGGATGAAATTGGAACTTAAAAATTGGGGAATCTGTCCTGGGTTCTATTCCAGGCGTATTGTATACATAACAATTGTAGCCATTGAGTTTATTAGGGCTGATTTCTTGCGGTCACAATTTGTTAGGGTTAGTCCAGGCACAGTCTTGGACACCTTTCCGAAAAAAAAGCAACTATTATCTTTGATAATTTTGATTAAATTGGGATTCTTGAATCTATATTGGTGAAATTGATCAATACCCTTTGGCTTTCTGTAGGTACTTTCTGATTCTGAATCAGTAAGATGGTTGAACCATACTATGGAAAGGATCTGGCCTGTATGTATGGAAGAGATTGTCTCCCAGAAAATTCTCCTCCCTATCATACCTTGGTTCTTGCAGAAGTACAAACCATGGACTGCTGTATGTTTATATAATTATTTTATAAGAAAAAAGTGTTGGGTTCTTAGTTGTTAATCATTTGTATGCAACTTTATGATGCAGAAAGAAGCTGTGATTCAGACTATATATCTGGGAAGATCTCCACCCATGTTTACAGAGATGAGGGTTTGTCGTCAATCTACTGGTGACGACCATTTGGTATATTATCGTTGGATTTTTGTGTAATGAAGTAGTTCTATTTTGGAAATTTTTTGCGATCTTAATGTTGATTCTGCATTAAGGTTCTTGAGTTGGGGATGAATTTTCAAACAGCTGATGACATGAACGGAGTTCTTGCTGTGAAACTGACGAAAAGATTGGGGTTTGGAATGTGGGCAAAGATGCATTTGACGGGTATGCATGTTGAAGGAAAGGTGAGTCATTTAGGCTTTTGGTTCGAGTTTATTTTGAGAACATATATATACACATATATATAGAGAGAAACTTCGGTGCAGGGGAAACCACAAAAAAAATGGAAAAACTAGGAGCATAAGTATGTACATGTGTATAAAAGCAATTGAAAATGTTTCCTGGTTTTTATGCACGTGTGCATACCGGACAAATTACTTTTATGCACATGTGCATAACATACAGATGAATGGTTATTAGGATGTTCCTCAATTTTTTTGTGGTTTTCCCGTGAAACTGACCTTATATATACACACCATATGCATTGATATATATACACTATCAAAATATGTATTCTGTTAGTATATTCATCAATGCATATCTACTATGCTTGCAAGTATATACACATTGATACATATACCCACTGAAATTCATATAGTTTATATGCATCAGTGTATATACTGGTTCTCAAAATATTTATGATTTTCAAATTTCAATTGATCTTCTCTATGAAACCCAAAAAAAAAAGAATAGAGAACAAAGGAACATAGATTCTTGGTCATATGAGTCTCTATTGATCTACCAAAAGCTATGAAAACTCATTGTTACTTTTTTGGCATTCATGATATTCTTTAAGGTGTTAGTTGGAGTGAAGTTCCTTCCAAGATGGCCTTTTCTTGGACGGTTAAGGGTGTGCTTTGTTGAACCTCCATACTTTCAGATGACCGTGAAACCTATTTTCGCTTATGGGCTTGATGTTACTGAACTACCTGGCATTGCTGGATGGCTGGTTAGTATACTTCATCGATTGGGAATCCACCTTTCCTCCCTAATCTGAGTTCAGTTATGTTCGTTTACTTGATTAGGATAACCTTCTCACACTTGCCTTTGAAGAGACACTCGTTGAGGTGAATTCCTTTAGACTTTTCTGATATCTTATGTTGGTGAAGTTTCTATTTGGTTCATATTTGGAAAAAATACTTCTTTGCCTATGCTTAACAAACTAGCTAATAAGCAAGCTGCTGGCTGAAAAGATGGTTAATAAAATAGTCATGCAAATGACTAGAAAGGACATGTTGAAAAATTAATTGAAAAAAATATAAGGGGCATAATTGGAAAAAAGTGGGAAAATGCGTCTCGAGCTTATTGAATTCAAAAAGCTAGCTTATCAACCAATTTATGACTAACGAAACAGAGGTTTTATAATAATTATGGTTGTCATGGCCTTTATCTCTCTCTCTCTCTCTATATATATATATACATATATGCATGTAGTTGTGGATGTATAACTATAATGATTCAAGTGTTAACTTTTTATACAGCCTAATATGTTGGTGGTGGATGTGGAGAAATTTGTTTCACCTGAGCAAGGTAACTTGTATGCTTTGAGCTTTGTCTGAACTAATGACACGACATGTTGTCGATGTACATGTGGTGCAATTTAGTGTTCAGATTTCAACATCACCTCTTATTAATAAGAAGTGAAATAAGAATTTAGAGTTCAACACTTCTTTAAAAACAAACAACACCTAATTAGTCTTTTATTTTAGAATCTTGGTTTTGTGTCGATGCCAAGGAGCCTGTTGCTTATACTTTAGTGGAGATCGTTGAAGCACTAGACATGAAACCATCAGACATAAATGGTAAGTTCGTGCCAAATTGTTTATGCATTTGGCCATTTCTTTTGTGAACAAATAACTTACTAGAATTCTTTTCAGGGATGGTTGATCCTTATGTAAAGGGTCAACTTGGTGCTTACAGGTTTAAGACCAAGACACTAAGGAAGACACTGAATCCAAAATGGCAAGAAGAGTTCAAGATCCCTATTATTACATGGGAGTCGCTTAATGTTCTTATGATAGAAGTCCGTGATAAAGATCACTTTGTTAACGACATTCTCGGGTTTGTTTTTTCTCTTTTTCTACTAATAACTAAAACAGGACAAGTTGTCTCTCTGGTGTTTGGTACGACTAGGACAAGACCGAGTAAGTTGTCTGTATTGTATTTGGTAAGTTGAACAAGACAGGATATCCAATTTCTAAAAAAATCCCAAATGTTTCCATTTTTGGAAACTATTAAAATGACCATATTGCCCTTAGATGTAGTTTTATGATCTATATACATCATATATTAGTTATAAATGACACATATCAAGTAAATATCTAAATAATTTAATTTATAAACATTCTTACACAATTTTCATATACATAGTACCAGACTTGAATGAAGAATTTGATATAATTGATGGTAACATCAAAGGAACCCGATTCGTACAAGGAAAAAACTATGTCTTATTCGTCGTGGAAGGTCTTTATGAATTGGTGGAGGCAACCAATGGTGGTGGAGATGGAGGTGGAGGTGGTGGTTGTAGAGGAGGTGGAGTGGTGGTGGGCAGTGATAGTGGAAGTCGATGGTGGAGATGGCGGCCTAGGGTTACATAAATTGAGGGTAGATTAGTAATTCTTTAGTTTTGTCCCATATTGGTGATTTTCATACCACCTCTTTTGGCGGAACAAGAAAACCTTTTTTGCCCCACTCAGTCTCGGTCCTAGTCCCATGTCGTGTCAGCCAAATGTGGAACATAGAGTTTTTCTCCTTTCTTGTAAAGTCCATGTACCAAACATAGGCATAGGGTCTAGAGTTTAGGTTACTTTTAGATTTGGTTTCCATTATATATGATAAAAGCTGCTTTTTTGCTTCAGTGATTGCTCTATAAAGATCAATGATCTTAGAGATGGCCAGAGACATGAGTTGTGGCTGCCTCTTCACAGCATGAAAACAGGAAGATTGCATATTGCAATAAGAGTCACTCAAGTTGATGGAAAGGTGTGTTTTCTGTTTTTTCTTTTTCATTCTTCAGTAATCTCAGTCAAATTGCAGGGTGATATATGAAGTAAGGGTCAGGTTCAGGGAACACTATAAAAAAATATAAAACTGAGGAACACCCGAGTAAACGTTCATATGTACGGTATGTACATGTGCATAGTGCATACAAGTACTCTTGTAAGTAATTTGTGCGGTATGTACATGTGCATAACATGCACACGTGCATTAAAACTAGGGAACATCTTCAATTACTTGTATGCACACGTGCATACCGTGTAGATGAATGGTTATGATGGTGTTTCTCAGTTTTTCAATTTTTTTAGGTTTCCCCTTAACCTCACTCCATGAAGTAATATTCAATATGGGGAAAGTTCAAATGAGAACCATAAATTTTTCCAAAACCAGGGAACCAACTATTTCATGTGTTATTCATAATGAATTACCCTTACCCTAAATATTGATGAATATTATTCATTATGAATACCATTCCCTAATTAATACAATTACCCAAATGGTATTTAATCTATATAGGTAAGTGAACCATCATGTGATGGGGATGCATCAAGCAATGAGTTGACAAAATCTTCCGCACCTGAAACGGCCAAGAAAGGAGCTAGCTCTGGTGAGCTTTTTGAAAAATCTACACCAGTGGAAGATGACTTTGAACCCGTTGATGTTAAAGGGCAACAACAGACCAGCATATGGGTTCACCATCCAGGAACAGAAATCCCACAAGTTTGGGAACCCAGAAAGGGGAAGAAGAGGGTCCAAAAGGACAGCGAATCCGTGGGCAGTAGCACCAAATCGGGATCATATCTTGATGATGCCAGCTGCTCCGATAGTAGCCTGGAAGGGAAAAAGACTAATTCAAAAAACCGAGTTAAGAGAGGCCTAAGTAAGATCGGCTCTGTTCTTAACAGAACCCTTAAAGCACAGAGTGGTAAATCAAGAAGTCTCAAAAAGATGGATACCAATAACAATTGGGATTTGCAATCACCATCTCCACACGAAAATGTTAAGGCGGTGAATGCAAATGAGGCCACGGTGAATTTGGTCATGGAGGAACCGAAAATGGAAGTGAGACAGAGCCCAGAGGGAAGTTATTCGAATAGTCCAGATAAGAGGAAAGTGAAAGATGTGGCAAAAAGTATTCTAAAACATGCTGGCAACTCTGCTAGAAGTATGAAATATGTGTTTACTCCAAAAGGGTCTAAAATACGTTGTGACACAGATTTGGCCGTGGAATCGGACTCTTCGTTTGAAGACTCAATTCCTCCCCCTTTTTATGAACCAGAAGAAATGAGTCCAAGTGTTTCTGATACCAAATCCGAAGATGTTTCTGGTCTGATGGATTCTGTGGGCACAGCTGATGAAGTCTATGAGGACTCTCTATGATCTTTAAAGCCCACGGCTCAGAATCTTGATCTCAAAAGTCCAGAAATCAAACGGTCCGAGTAATATCACAGATCGCAATTAATCTATGGAATAGGAACGTAAAACGGAGCTAAAGAATGGTCGAAAAAGATCGACCTGTATGCACTCTGACTAGTTAGTTAACTGTTGTGCTTCTATCTTGGATGTATGTAAATGGAAAGTTCTGTTGATAACAAGATTTCTTGATAACTGATTCTAGTTTGAATCATTTCTTTAAACAGAGTAACTGGTGGTTTTACCAGATAGCATACACTGAAGAATCTGCCTCCACATTGCCATTTTTGGCACAAAACCATTTTCTATCATCTGCTTCAAAACCAAATTAACATCTGACATGAGGTTTTCTTCACAAAGACCGCTGATCATCAATTTATACGATTCGAAACTTGGAACCATCTTCTTGGATGACATCTTTTGTGTTAGATTTATAGCCTCGGCGTATTTTCTGCTATCGAGCAAAGCATACAGAACCTCTTGGTAGGAACTAGGAATTGGTTCGCATCCTTTTAGCAACATTCTATTGAAAAGCTCGATACTTTCTTGAATTCTACCATTCTTCCTTAAACCCGAAATCAGTATGTTTATCAAGATTGTATCAGGATCGACACCTTCTGTTTCCATCTTCTCCAAGAATGAAAATGCTTCTTCAATACGACCGGATTCACACAACCCATGAATCAAAGCCGAAAAAGTTCTCACATTAGGCTTACAATTCTGTTTAGGAAATTCATCAAACACTTGGAGTGCAGCATTGACATCCCCATTTTTACACAAGCCTTTGATCATGATATTCAAACAACAAGCATCAATCTCAACACCTAATTTCCCAGCAGCCATAAAAACCTCATGAATCACATCAAATTGCTTAGTGTTCACTAGCAAATTCAACACAAAATTAAACGTTTTTGGCGTCGGCCAACAGCCATAACTTGGCATATCGAAAAGGGTGTCGATTGCTCGGTTAATTCGACCTGCACCCAGCCCATAAATCCTGATCACATTGTAGAAAAACCCATCAGAAAGCCGACACCCCTTTTCAAGTTTGATTAACTTCATCACTTGTTCAATCCCATCAAAATTCTTGGCTTTTGAAAGATTATCTATCACTGATGCGTAAAGAGCTTCATTGGGCTTATAATCCTTCCGCTTCGAGAGTTGATTTAGAACAGTAAGAGTCGAATTGGGATCTTTTAGGGTTTCGAAAATCTTGACGACTTCATTTGGGCTTAACCAGTCTTTATGATCAAGTAAATTAAACGGATGGGGTTTTGTTGAAGAATCGATTGAAGCAGCTGAATGATACCAGTTTAATTGATAAATCTTGCGAAGTTTGGCAGTGGAAGCAATGATCGAACGGGTAATCATTTTATTCTTTAGGGCTTCGATTTGATTTCAACAAAGTGCGGAGTATCGCCATATTAGACTCTGATCTTGGATTCTTGTTTCTCTTCGCATAAATTACAAATTTTACCCCCAAATTTTCTTTTATTACAAAAGTAACCACACACTTTCTTAACAATTTTCAAGAAAATTATAGCTTGATTCTTGAACATGTATGCTGCATGCATGCGTGTAGGGATGCACGAAAACCCGATTTGACTCTGATCGATCCGGTCAACCCAACTTAATCCAATCTGAATTTATTCAGCATCTAATTAAGTTGTAAATTATTTAAACCGTAGGTATTCTGTTGAGATTCGGTTAAGATCATTTGAACCCAACCTGACTTGATGTCATGGTTGTTAAGTCCTTAATTAATATATATGTACATTAGACATTAAATCAATCAGTAATTAGTCTTATCTAAAAATGTATCATAATTTCAACCGTAATTTTACTTTCTTATTTATATGAACTTTCGTCTTCCTTCTTGGTGGTAGTCCGGTTCTCTTTTTTTGGTTCCCATATAACATCATATGTCAACTAATTTGTGGTAGCCACTAGTAGTTGCTCAAGTATAGTGGTTATGGTGGCACGTGTCGTAGTGTAAAATTATTTAGGTTTGTAAAAGATGCAACCGTATCAATTTGTTGTGTGCCACCGTATATATTTTGAAACTATAAGGACGGTTTTCCTTGGTAGAGTTGGTGCGCAAGGTTTTTTTTTCCCACCCCAGATCCAAGTTCGAATCCCGTTAGGGTTATTTTCTTAGTTTTCACTTTTAGTTTCAGATTTATTATGTTTCTGAAAAAAGAACTGTAATAAAAGACTTGAACACTAGACCTCACATATGAAAAAACAATGAAATAACCAACAGACTGATTATGATCGATGTTGTAAAAAATTATCACAATATTCGTTTCTTATATATAGTCAAATATTGTCATCGCTTGAAAAAATTCTTGGGTCCGTTCATGTCCAACGCGCACGGGTTAGATTGGGTTGTTCAGAAACCTTCAAACTAGCCAACACAACCCAACCCATATGCTATAGTACATGTGTGGATGGTATGGATATTCACATGCCATGCCGAGAGCCAGAGCTATAGTAATATCGATGGTATGGATATTACACGTGAGAAATGTAATAGGACTCAAAATTTTGGGGCTCAATTGTACATATTTAGCCATTATACTTGTTTTATATTTAAGGGTTGTTTGGTTGATTTTTCATTAAGTCATGTACAGATCAAATTGTTTGTGTGCATTAACCTGTCTATATAGATTGACAAATATTTGTTTGAGATAGTTTTTTTTTCATAAATGGAATGAGCATATTTTGTAATTGAGAGGGGCAAGTTTGGAAAAAACTTGACGTTATGTATAAAACTCCCTTAAAAGCTTACCGAATAAGTCACTTTTTATAACATTAAGTCACTACCAGAGAATCATGTACACCTAACCGAATAAGTTATGAGTATCATTAAGCTCATTAAGCTAATAACAAACGAACACCTTAGCCAATTATACATAGGTTTTAGCTTAACTATAATGTTTCAGACTTTCACCCTTTTATTGAATCGACCATTCCCAGATTCCAACTTTCAAAGAATGATTCTATTTAAATGAATTTCGTATGTTATTTTGTATTTTTAAGATACTTTTGTTGTTTTAATTTGCAAGACTTTTAATATAAACATATGATATCAACGAACTATTACCTCTCAAGTTGACGTATAGTTTTAATACATATATAACATGGCCCCAAAAAAATTGAAACCACATTAATATCAGTATCAATATCAGTATCTATATATCTGATGAATCATAAAAATGAGCAATTAATTCTCAGAATTCCCATAGCAATTCATAAATAGTTATTAAAATCATATGTTGTGATTTGGATATTATTATGGAAAGAAAAACTATATAATCAACAAAGACCAAGACAAAGAACTCCCACCACACAAACACAACTAAAAGAAAACCAACTCCATTGATCACTTTGACTACCATATCTCAACCACCACCACCACCACCACCCATGGTGGTGGTGGTAGCCGCCACCGGAGCCGCTACGTTCTTCCCTCTATCATCCTCCATCTCATCCTCGATTTCAACATCGACACGATTGGTTTCTTGGCCTGATCCTCTACCCAAGACGACAGTCCTCTTGTGGTGGTGTCTGATCACCGTCTTGCGGTGGTGGTGGTGGCTGCCGCAGTCGTTGCCGCCTTTATAACAAAGGGTGATGAACACCGTGAGAGCGGTGGCAACAAAAATGAAAGCAATAGTGGCGATGGCAGTCGCTTCCATTTGATCTTCCCGAAAGACACTGCACCATAACCATAAGATATGATCATCATAAGTCCTCAACGTCTTGTTTACTGCTTTGTTAATTAATTTAATTAAATAAATAAATAAATAAATCATTTTGCAGCCTGCCACCTTCCACAATTAAAGAATTGTGGAAACCGGCCTGATTTAATTGAATTTTCAATTTTTTTAATTAAGATAATAAATAAATAATTTAATTTTTATTAATTTGTCTTTTTGCTATATTTTAAAAAAAAAGTAAAATAAATCTACCAGACGGTATTCGTAAAATGTATTAAAGTGTAACGAAGTTTGTCTTATATGTATTAATAAGACTCTCAGATTATTCGGTTAGTTATACGTTATTGTTTGATATTGACTTAATAATATAGAAAGTAATTTATTTAATAAGTTTTATGTAACAAACCAAGTTTGTTCCTAACATATCACTTTCAATTAAAAAACATGTTCTTTCCGTATATGAGAAAACTCTATCAAACAAAAATATTCTCAATTTATACAGACAGATTAATCCACATAAACTGTTGTGATATTTATATGATTAAATATTACTGATTTATAATGTCATGTGGTGATTTTACATGTAATCAAATAATACTGGTTTATAATGTCACATGGTAATTTTTCTTAAAAACAATAGGTAATTCAACAAAAAAGTAAGTGTAACGTATAATAAACGATATTGTTTCTATATTAATATAAAGTGTAAGGATCGTGTGGGGTGAACCCTGTTGCTTGAAGGACCAATTGTGTAAGTCAGTAAGGTAACATTCTTCTCTATAAGCTCGGTTTATCTTAATAATGGATTCTTTCAATTCGATTTAAAATTCTAGGGTTTATTTGGGTATTTTTGGAGTAAGTGACGAATTCTCCATGGAAATCCATCATCTATCCGATTTTTGGTATTAGAATGGAAGTTTGAATGCGTTTTTTTAATCATTGAGTTGATTACAATCCATTTTTATTATGTTTCGGGATGGTTAATCAGTCTGATATTTCGTTGGATTAGTCGTGAAATCATAGATTGGATATTGGATTTGAGTTCTGGGTGTAAACCAACGTTTTGGAGGAACCAGCGCCAAACAGAGCCCAACACGACTTGGCGTGCGACGCAAGTCGCAACAACTACTGTTTAGCACATTTTAAGTTATCTTGTTTTTCGATTTAGGGCAGGGTTGAAGCATTGTTTTGACAGCTTTCTTAATTCGGTCAATTCAGGTGTTCAGTTTGGACATTTTTAGCCGTTAGAACTCGTGATGGGTTGCCAAGCGATAGGTGAGTTCTCTTACACTAAAGTTTATAACTCATGAACATTTCTAAATCCTTTGAGCACTAATTATGGTTTTTATGCATACATGATATTATAGCTATGCATGGGGTGTGTGCAGTTGCACAATGGGCATAGGGTGCCTTGTGACAGTGATACCTCTCGGGATTTATGATACCGTGTTTCTTGAATTTGTTTCTCGAGCACATTGGATAGACACCTATTAGGGGCGTGAATGTTATATTTGTCATGGGGGCTTGTGACGGGGTTGCTACAGATGTTGTGCAATGTCTCTGAGGTAGGAATGTGCTCTAATGTTAATTGAGTATGATATATTTTCACTACTGGTTTTATCATTCTCATAATTGTTGTAATGTGATGAAGAGAATTCACTGGACCTTATGGTCTAACGCTCGTTTTTCATAGTAGAATCATTTTGCTGGTCATATATCTGTATTTTCATAGTTACATCATTTTCAATGATGTGAAACATATAACTACTCTATTAAATGCAAAGAATAAGGATTCAGTGCACCTTTGTAACCTTGTGATGTGATATGTAGATATTCGACAACCATCGAAAAACATAGATTACGTTTTGAAAAACGTTCTTTCTGATTCTTATTTTACCTATTTTTAAAAAATAAATAAAATGACTGTCTGATTTCCATATTATTTATTTCTTCAAAATTTTATTTTCAGTACCTCTTATCAGTGAGAAATAATTAAAATAATATTTCTCTCCTACGTAAAGTCTTAGAAATTTCTTTAAATTCTCAGATTTCCATATTCTATTTCTTTTCTTTTTTTCTATGTTACCATACAATAAATATAAAATAGCAACCACAAGAGAGATGTCTGATTGGTTTGAGCTTGGTTTCAAATGTCAAAAGTACCAGGAGGTCCCAGGTTCAAATCCAAGGAGGAATAAAAATCCCCTTGTGGACATGGAGGTTCAAATGCAGTGACTTCGGGCTATCTGCAAAGCAGGTGGTCTCCCCCTGGGATTAGTCGGCTTGCATAACAGGTTGTCTATTATAACATAGTTGTTGTAGATGCTACGAATAAGTAGTACAAATAATATGTATACGTCGCATCAAATTTAAATTTTTTTTTGTTAAAGACGCATTTATTAATAATCTTTGATGATGAAAGATATGGTACGTTCTTTCAAAGAAACAACGGATATATAAAACAAATAGCATAGATACAAAATTAAGTATCAAGACAACAAATGATAGTAATTAACGTAGTCGTCGGGATGATAACAATACACATAAGAATACGAAACACGTTATTTTTTTGTCTTAAAGTATTTACAGTATAAAAATAATAAACCATGTTATATTTTAATAAAAAAATTGAATTATTATAAATCAGTATTTGTATGTATATATTCCTCCTCACATTCCCACAGAAATATTATATCAGAAAGATGGCTAGAGACGGTGTACCGGTGATAGATATGCAAAAGGTTGAGGGATTGGGGGAGGAATTGGTGAGGGCGTGTGTCGAATGGGGTTGTTTTAGGATGATCAACCATGGTGTCGCGATGGAGCTCATGGCGGAGATGAAGGCGACAGCCGCCTCGCTGCTTGATCTCCCGGAGGAGATCAAGCAACGAACGGTTCATACTGAACAAGGTAAGGGTTATGTTGAACGGAACCAAGGAACTCCGTTTTTTGAAACTTTAAGTGTCGATGAGATTAGTTCGCCAGGTGAGTTTTGTGATCGCCTTGATGCTTCACCACACCAAAGGTATCGTTCTCCATCTCCATCTCAGTCGTGATCACCTTCGTGACACGATGGTCATTCAGTACAATAAAATAGGTTTTATAAGATGTTAAAAATGTTTAAATGTTTGTAATAGATTTGTTGGTATATGAAATCTTATGTTTATAGGACTAAACAACGGATTGTTCTATGTAAATGTCTTACAATAAAGGTGCGCAAAACCCGAATGGTTTGAGGTCTGAGCCCGAATTGAAAATAAGGTGTTTGTGCAAAACGGGAATGTCTCGAAAATTTGAAACCCGACTGTTGGAGATATTTGGGTTTGATTTGTGGCCACCCAACATGTCCGAAACTCCGAAATATATACACGTAATATACTTTAAATATTCTATAAATATATTTATTCTTTCTAATTATCTTTTGAAAAACTAAAATCCTACTCGATCGTATTTTTTTTCTAATTTCTAAACCTACTATTGATTGCATTCATTATCAAAATCGATTGTATACACACACAAAAAGTATCGTGTAAGAATAAATGTTAAAGTGAGAAGTGTAAAAATGAATTTGAATCCTAAATCACTTTCAATCTCAAACCAACTCATAAATTTTATTTTAGAAGTGAATTGATCCGATGTATATCATGTTGGTGATTTTAGTGTCAACAGGCCATGTAAGTGTAATTAGAAATAATAACGAGTTCTAAGAGGGTTTTATACTGTGTTCAAATGCAAATCAGGAGGTGCGGAATGTACACTTGTTATAAGACGAGTATAACCCCGATGAGAATCAAGGGGTTGCGTCCTTGCAATGTAGTGGAAAATTGATCATAAGAACCAGAGGGGCTCTGGTCGACCAGAAGGGATCTGGTCCTTAAGGACCAGAGAGGCTCTAGTTTATCTTGCCTCTGGTCTTATGTCTGGAACAATAGAATAGTTTTGTAACTGTCCACTACTATTGATGTGCAGTTTTAGTAACTGTCCACTACTATTAGTGTACAGTTTTATAATTGTCCACTACTCCTAAAATTTGGCCATGATTATTATTACAGTTAATTTTTATGAGTATAAATACCTTCTATACTTATAATTAGACTCGAAGGTTATTGAACAATCCTTGAATGCTCTCCGGCTAGTTTGCTCTCATTTTTGTGCCTAAAACGAAAGTGTTTTCTTGAGTCTTATCCTATATTGAATTTCGTGTAACCCAGGCATAGGGTCGAAATATTAATTCGGAAAGTGCTCTCTTCACGATTCTCAAGTAATCTGGTTCTTGATCGATCACCCTGTTGTGTCTTATTAGTGAAAAACCCTTGTTCTAACATATCATTACACTTGATCTGGTGTTTCTTTTTAATTAGGATTGATTCAAATGTGAAGATCATTTCTTACCCTTCTCACAGTGACTTTCATTCTTACCGAAATCCAATCGAAACCCGAAAAAAATCCAAAACCCAAAATTCGCGGCTTAGTTTCCATATCCGCAATCCAATGGGATTTTTGAGTTGCGTGCCCGACCTCACCCAATGCACACCCCTAGTTACATTAGGATCTTATGACATATTTGGGCATGCTAACGAGTTTTTCAAAACACTTTTGAGAACTATCTTATGAACACATTTTTATAGGACATTTGTTTCTATAGTACTCTTTCTTGAAATGTCATATAAAAAGACTAATAAAACGTTTTATTTCAAAATTGTTTTAAAATTGTTTTTAAGACGACAAAAATTATCATATCAACTTATTGTAACGCATTTTATAAGACATAGAACTGTTTGGTTCTGTAACTTAAGTCCTACGAAACTGATGACATTTAGACGTATTTAAGTGTCCTATAATACTGATTTTATTGTAATGGTTCATGGTGCAGATTGAAAATAAAAAAACTCAAAACTTGACTTCTTGTTGTAGGGAGGTTATATACAAGTATATAAAAGCTATTCGTGAACTCGCCGGGCTTCTTGGCCGGAAATTGATGGAAGGCAGCGGTTTGGCCGGAGATTTGTTCGACGGTTGGTGTTGCCAATTAAGAATGAACAAATACCACTACTGCCCTGAAAGCGTAGGGTTGAGCGGCGTCGGCATGCACTCCGACCCTACGTTTCTGACCATTTTACAAGATGATGAGAACGTAAACGGTCTGCAAGTGGTCGACAAATACTCCGGCGAGTTTGCTCCGGTGGACCCCGTTCCCGGCTCACTAGCCGTCAACGTCGGTGATATTGCCAAGGTAACACCACAATCCCGTTGAAAGAAAATATTATGTTTCAAATAAATAATAGATCGATTGTCCCTTGTGTTGATTTCAACTGAGACAAAAGTAAAAAGACCAAATTGCCCTTGGATTAACGGATTGCATTTTATGTTAGTGACAAGACCTAGCTTGGAACGAAATGCAAACCAAAGGGACATTTGGAGCTTGTTTATTAGCAGCTTAATAGGACTAACAGCTCATTCAGATCATTTAGTCTGTTGTACATGATTGTTTGGTAATGCCTTAATAATATAGAAAGTGGTTTATTCAGTAATTTTTTTAGGGAGAACTTATTCGAAAAGCCAAACTTTTTCCAAATTTGCCCCTCTCAATAAAAAAAACATGCTCTTTCATCTATAAAAAAAATCTTCCCAAATAAAAATCTTCTCAATTTATACAAACAGATTAATCCATATAGACAACTTTATTCATATAAAACTTAATATAAAACTAACCAAACTAACCCTTAGTGTAATTATTTTGAAATAGGGACTGAATCCAGACTTTGAACAAACCACAGGGACCAATGACGTAATTTACCCTTTTATCAAACATGACTAAGTTTTCGGCTAACAGTTAACTTATCAACCAACAACTAGTTCGTTTGTCAATCATAACCTAAAACAATACATATAAATGAGATGCAGGCATGGAGCAACGGGCGATTTTGTAACGTGAAGCATAGAGTCCGATGTTTCGAGCCCAAAACACGTTACTCCATAGTATTATTCGTGTTAGGACCAAACGACACAAAGGTCGAAGCACCGTCAGAACTCGTGGACTCGGACCACCCTCGTCTTTACGTTCCCATCGACATCAAGGAATACCGACATGTTCGAACCTCCAAAAGGTTACACACTGGTGATGCTCTCGACATATTTAGCACCACCGCAACATGACAATCATCATCAAAACGTTTCTCGTAATATCAACTCTCCGCACTCGTGTTATTATGTATTTAATTTAACATTTACGTTCTACGTTATATATTCTATTAAGTCATGATTTGTGCAAGTATATCACCCCGTAACCAACTGTGCGGATTTGAACTGAATCCATAAGCAAATAGCTATATATATAAATTCATGGCCCCATTTACAAAGCATTTTTGGCAAAATTTTGAGGCCCCACCAGCAGCTAACCCTACTTCTAAATGGTTTGAATCTAGAGTGTACAATGCCCAGAAGTTCTACTGATTGCATCCTTGTGATCACTTTCATATTTCATGTATAAACGACAATGAAAGCTCGAATCCGATGAGCGAACGTTCGGTAATCGGTACGGTGGCTCCCCGTCTTGATACGGTTTCGAAGTCAAGTGGGGTCGGCTTCTCGAATACCGGCTACACGAGGCTGTGTAATCCGGAGGGGCGTAGATCGTGTTGAAGATTGAAGAAATCGGATCGTTATCGGTGTGGTCGATGGTGCTGAACGAGTCTCGGGTGCTCTCGGTAGTGAAAGACGCGTCGTCCGAGCTTGTAAAGATTGATGACCAGTCACTTGAATTCGCGTCGGAGAAATCGACGCATGATGGTGGCCGGTTTCGGTTCGAACCTGCTTGAAAATCTTTTGATTCTTGAATTTGATCCGAGGTCGGGTTTGGAGATTTCGGCATCCGGTGCTTTTCAAAACCGGAAGCTTTCGGTTTTCCGGTTTTAAGGGGACGAGGGGATGATCTAACAAAACGAATATCATATGTTTCATTCTATTCAATACGGATAGGTTCTCAAAGAGAACATTAAAAAAGAACAAGAGAACCCATCTGAATCATCCATCTAGTTTAATCCAACGGTTGTGAATGATCGGGGCGGTTACATTTTGCCAAAACTAAGTCCATGATTATAGGGGCGGTTACATTTCGAATCTGGGCCATCTAAATTTTTGATCCAACGGTTGATATGGGTTCTCTTGTTCTTTTTTTTCCTGGGTTTCTCTCTTGAACCTCCCTCGATTGAATATGTAGACAAAATATAAATAAATCGGTTACCTCATGTAGAATAATATGTACGCCCCTTCCGACATCACCTGGCTCAACGGCACCGGTTGGACCTGTAACTCGAGCAAGATTAATAAAAAATGCGTTTTCTTGATCAAGAACGGACCCACTAAATCCCACACGGATAGGGTCAAGGGAGGGTAAAAATGTACCAACACCAAAACCCTAAACCCTAAACCCCAAGGGGAAGAGACTAGAGAAGTTGTTTATGTGAAGACCTCGGGTTGAATCGCAAACACATATAGATCGTGATTTACCTGAGTGTCATCGATCCTAAACCAGTTGCCGTGAAGATCTTTAACATACGAGATATAATGACCGGAAAAAGAAGCATTCATCGTGTCCAAATGCACAACGACGCCATAAAGCATGTAAAGGGGAGGTACGTCGTCCGTCCCGGTCATGTACGGGATCATATCCAACATGTCCGGAAACGTAATACACTTATTTATCTTTCCGTAGTTTCCCTCCTGAAAAAGCAAGAAAACGCTCAAGAACAAGCGTCGTGTTACCTTAACTCGCACTCGCAAACGGTTTTAAGTAGTACCTGAAATCTCTTCAAAACGATCGTTAAAATATTTGGAGCCTCGTGTATAGCCAACTGCTTTTGTGCTCGAACATACGCAGCACACCTTCAAAAAATAACGTATTAGAGACTGCAACTTTTTAATTTCAATATACAAAATAAAACCAAATCAAACCAGTATTCCCGAAGGTGGGGATGTACACAGACCTGACCTCTGCTCCCAAAGAGTGAGGCCCAAAGTGCGGTACTGACAACTACCGGTACATGAAGAAAAGCTAAGACTATGTATGAATATGATCAACGAACCTTCCACATCGGTACATGTTTTCTCCATCCAAATCTTCTGGGCTCGTAAATTGAGTTAACGCGTCTTCCAACGACTCAACCCAACCAAATATCTCGAGCGTAAGATCCATAATATTTTCATATCTATCCGACTCACAATGACATCTCAGGCACTTGACCTATTTTTCAACGAGAAAAAACCGATGAAGTCGTTTTTCTTGCTCCCTCGGTCCCAAAATAAGCATCTACATTTCTATTTTAGTTTGTCCCAAAATAAGTGTCCACTTTCAAAAGTACCCACTTTCCAATTCTACCCTTAATTATTTGATGGAAAAACTCGATAATCTCCATATCATCAAGGGTAAAATAGTCATTTTAGTTCATTAAAAAGTGTCATAGACTAATAGTTACATATTTACAAAACTCTACTTTTTTTCATTGTGGACATTTATTTTGGGACGGAGTGGGTACTAAAAACCGAGAATAAAGATGCTTCCACCTTTGAACGGAGCTGCCCGCCAAACGTATGCTGAATAAAGGTCGTTTCTTGCAATTTCAGATCAACCACGGCTTCCCCACCTAAACCCTCCAGACATATCGATTGCATCGAGGTAACTAGAAGCCTAAAAACGAGAAAAAAAAAACACAAATCAGTACAAAAATTGGATCAAAATTCAGAGGGTGACTGAAAAATGGACCTTAAGAACTCATGGGCGTCTTCTTGACTTCCATCACCAATTTGGTTATTAACACTCCGCATATGCAAAAGAATTCGGCTGAGTGACAGTGGTTCTTCGTTATCGCACAACATTACTGCGTGATGCTCGAGTTCACAAATAAGACACCAACTCTTTGCACAACCTAACATATGACGATCAAGTGGAATACGATGAAGAACGAATGGTGAAAGTATCGTTAACGTTTTAATTCACAAGTCAATCAAGAAAACACGAAACGGTTGACTTACAGGCTCTAGAATGCGACCTACGGAGTAAATAGATGATCAGAGGCTTCGTAGAGGTCAAGCACTGCAGCACAGCATTTGCATAACAACTGCAAAACGACAATTTCATGTATTATTCATGATGAATAACTTTGCATAATCATGAATATTATTCCTTATGAATGTTATTCGTCATGAATATCATGTACTTTCTATACTGAAAAATATGTATTTTCATTATGAGTAGTTTTCATCATGAATATCTATCGTGTCATCCGTCATGAATAAAACATGAATAGTTGGTTCACGGATTATCAAAATACTTACGGTTCTCATTTGAACATGCCCGCATATATATACACACACATACATTTAAATGTGAATATTCATTATGAATATCTGCTTCTTACAGCTCTCACGCACGCACTCGCAATATGAACATGAACAGTACCTGTTCCCACAATTTACAAGCCCCCTTGGCAATAGGTCAAAAGCTTCACAGCGGAAGAACTTCACAAATTCTTCATACGGAAATAGCATCTGAGATTATAAAAAAGGGATCATTTAAACAATCTGCCATATCAATCTAAACACAAACATCTTAAACAATGAATCCCCGATAACTTACTTTTATTTTCTTATGTCTTTCGCTATGAACTTCCGAATGTTCAACTCTCTCATGCTTAGATGACCTCTTTAGACCAATTATCTTCATAAACCCCTTATTAACAATCCCATTGCCTTCATGAGGAAGAGGGTTCACACACCCTGCGCGAGAATCACCTGCATCAGCAATCTGATCCATACTTCCCCTTTCGGAACACGATCTATCTCTCGACATTTTGACTGTTGACTTTGTTGATTTATGCATTTTGGTTCCAGTCGAATGTGACGTTGGTTTCACCATACCACTTTTCTTTGCCTGGCTTCTTTCAGAACATCTTGTCCCATAAGTCTCGTAATCTGCAATTGTTTCGCTCTTCGGTAAGCTCCATCCGTCCTCCGACTCCTTCTCAACGTCCAATGAATTTGCACCATTTTGAACTGGCTTTTCCGAGTCAGAAAAGCCAAATTTACTCGTTATATTACATACATTCCCATGCTGGTTGTCTGACTTTAAAACATCGGCATTACTTTTCTCCGGAATATCTTCTTTCACGAGCACAGAATGACTCCGTTTCGGCTGCAATTATCAGTTTTAAAGTAAATACCATACGAAAAAAAGAAGAAACCCACAATTTTCCATCCAAAATGTAATGAAAAAAGAACCTTATATCTGATGGAAGTTCCTTTCAATGGAATATTATCATATGAAGTGGAACATATCTCCACGGGTATATCATCGGCAGCAGCTTTCTCATTCCCGAGTGGCTTCATATTCGATTCAGAAAACTGGGAATCCAACTTTTCACCAAATAAGAACTGTTCGTCAACCGAATCTTCATTTGAAGCAGAGTTAGAAGATGCACAACTGCTGTTGTAATCTAAAACTTGGCACTCTTGTTTGTGAACTTGCCTCCAATGAATTATTTGACACTTCCCAGAACTGCATATCGTGAATCAAAAGTAAGGTAAACGGTATACCGCAAGAACACAAAGATGCCTAAAAGATGCAAGCTTTCTTGGTTGGATGTCTGGATTATAGTTCTATTTAGTATTTCCTACATTCTTTATTCATGAAGATGCATAAAAGATGCAAGTTTTCCTGGTTGGGTGTCTAGATTCTAGTTTTTTTTAGCATTTCTTACAATCTTTATTCTCGAAGATGCATAAAAGATGCAAGCTTTCATGGTTGGGTGTCTAGATTCTAGTTCTTTTTACGGTCTCCTACAATCTTTATTCTCCATTCTTGTCATGCAATCACTTAATGCTGCAAAAATTCTTGTAACGAATAAGTCTAGGAATCCATAGTTTCATACCAGTAGCGTACAGATTTGCAACGAGAGCAGCGAGTTTTAGCTGGACCGAAGCATCTAGAGCATTTATGAAATCCATTACTTGATTTCGACACGGGTACAATAGGGATAATGACAGCAGCGGCGGCGGCCATGGCCTCTGCTCGAAAAGCTTCTTCTGCAGCAATTTGAGCGAGCTCGCTTATTCGATCTTTCTTTTTCGAAACCTCACTCCATTTTCCTAGCAAGATGTAAGCAACAAGCGGAAGCACAACCAACACCAGAAACAGGGCGGGTAAATCAGTTTCCCTTGGCTGGAGCATGTCCCCACCAGCATACTCATGTCCAATTTCCGCCCACAAACTAATCTCCGCTAGCAAGATTACCGAATGCAAAACAGATTACCATCTTGCTTCACCAAAAGTTATTATCTCCTCTGCATAATAAAATATCTAGCCTGTGGAAAACAACATCCACCCTTTAGGTCACAACAAAAGAGAACATTTTTTACTGAAAAATTCATAAAAATTAGCATTACAAGCAATGTGAAGATGGGGAAACCCCCGCGAACAATACATATCGTATTGGGGGCCGTTTGGTTGGTTTTCCATCAAGTCCTATATGGATAAAGATGTCTGTGAGGATTAATCTGTGTATATAGATTAGGAAGGTTTTTGTTTGGGAGGGTTCTTTTATAGATGAAAGGAGCGTGTTTTTTAATTGGGAGGGACAAGTTTGGAAAAAACTTGGCTTTCTGTATAAAGCTCCCCCTAGAAGCTTACTGAATAAGCCACCTTCTATATCATTAAGCTACTACCAAACAATCATGTATAGCTAACCAAATAAGCTATGAGTTCCATTAAGCTGCTAACAAACAAGCTGCAAGTGAACCCAGGATATCCCACCTGGAGGTGGGATCTGGGGAGCAGACCTGACCTCTATCCCAAAAAACAGTAGGTGGCTTTGACGAAGAGTGAAAGATAGATAAGATAAGGTTTTGAAAAGCGAGTTAAGAATTAACTAAGAAACCAAACTAGCACTGTATCTCCCACACAGAGTAGAGGTCTCGGGGTAGGATGCACGCAGACCTTGTCTCTACCTCAAGGGGTAGAAAGTTGTTTCATGACTTTGCATCAATTAAAACAATATGTTAAATAGCTCTACTAATAAGCTACCTTGGTTTCACCATATAACTCGTAAAGCGCCCTAAATTTAACACGTATTGATTCTTCGATTCGTTATATAGCAACAAACTCGTATGGTAACACTTAACTCCAAGGAATTAACGGTTAGGTATGAACTAATCTCAATTTAAAGCGTTAGAAAAGCCATACATTCAAATGCACCTAGCACTTAAAGATTATCTACATTCAAAAAGACATTTGCTTTCCCTTTTTACCCTTTGACTTAAGGATATGGGGAAGTGGAAACAAGAAACATGGATGATCTCAAGGCAAGATGTAGATAGAAACACAAAAAAAGGAATCTTAACACACATAGAATGGCAAATCAGAAGTTTCTATTTGCATCAAATCAAATGACACAGTGGTATACAGTATACTTCCACAACAAGGGGATTATGGTTTTACTATAATCCGGTGATATTCGCACAATTCCTCAAAATGATGAAACCCTACTTTTCTCATTAAAAGAACTTCCAAATTTGTTCAAGTTCAACATGATTTTCAAGAAAACTTGGGTTATGGAGCACTGGGTAGGGTTGAGGGGGAATGTAGCGGAAATTTCATCTTCCTAGGGTTCGAATCCAGGCGCTGCCATAGCCCTTCTAACCGTGAAGGTTCACCTCCGATGACTCAGGGCTATTCGTGGTCGCCCGAGAGATTAGTTAGTGGGCTTAAGCTGGCAACAGGAACCCACTGTTACCCAAAAAAACATGATTTTCAAAAAAAACCTTTAAATTTGTTCTAGTTCAACATGAGTTCTGCTTATATCTAGGGCAATAACTATTTCTTGTTAAAAAAGTGTTCTTTTGAGAGATTTATCAGGGCAGAAACTGGCCTAAATCTTCATAAAAAGTTGCTCAAAATAGTTTATAAACAATTCACTGATATGAACCAAAAACTTGAACATCCCCTGATGCTGCATTATGCATTCCAACAACCACAGAGATTAAATTCCAAGAAAAGTGGAAAACCCCATTGTTGTTATAGCAAAAATGGTAGCTTTCACCCCTTTTAATTGAGTTACAGCTTACAAGATCAAAGAATACACAACAAACACATAAATTTCACTGAAAAAGCTAAAAAAAACCCAAAAAAGAGTCAGTTTTTCACAAAACCCAAAACCAAGGAACAAAGATTTCAAAATATTTGATGAAAATTAACCAAAAAAATGGCATTGAATCCCTGAAAAAACAAGCATAAATCCCCATTCTCTTCATAAACAATGGCATTCATCAAGAAAATCTTTAGAAAAGAAAACAAAGTAATCAATTTTCCACAAAACCCAAGACCAAGAAACAAAGACTTGAAAATGGTAGATGGACTTAACCAAAAAATGGCATTGAATCCCTAGAAAAAACAGACATAAATCCTCATTCTCTTCATAAACAATGGCGTTCACCAAGAAAATCTTTAAAAAGATGAACAGATTAATCAATTCTCCACAAAACCCATGACCAAGATTGAACAAAATCAAGCAAAAAATGCAAGATTTGAATTTGAAAATAATGAGAAAAAAGGGGTTAAAGATGAACCCTATACCTAAATTGCTGAAGATGAAGAAAATCTAAAAGAAGCAAACTCTTGCTCCTCTTTCCTCTGTAAAAATCGACAATGGTGAAAAGATTCCTTCTTTGGCGTCAAGAAGTCCTGTTTACACACACTTACACACACTTACACACACACTCTCTCTCTCTCTCTCTCTATCTATATCTATATCTATATCTATATATACTGTTTACGTGAATACGTACAAATGTTGTTGCTTACCTTCATACACAGTTCACACCTCTCCTCTTTTTCCACTTTGAGATTCGTGAAGTTTTTATATTCTACAGAAAACCGTTGTCACAAAATTTTATATTCTTTAAAATTATAATTAATTGATATAAAAAAAAGAGTGATTTTTTTGTATAAAATCAAATTCATATCATAATAATAATAATAATAACTACATTCATGTCAACGTTGATTGTTTTTGCTTTTAATTTTATCATGATTGATATAAATTAAATTCTTTTTTTTAATTTGTCACATCTGATTTAGTAATTATTATAGAATTATTTCATTCATCAACAATTTTTTAAATAAATGTTGGCTTAAAGTTTTTATATTTTTTAGTTCAATTATAAATTAAATATTTATTTTTGTAATTATCTAATTAATGATAATGTTTGATTTTCAAAACTAGTAAAATAAATGTTTAACTTAGTATTCTCAGTTTGTTTTAAAATAAATGTCTACTTTGAAAACTAAATGGGTGTTTAGAATTGTTTATAAAAATAATTTATTGACTTATTCTAGTGCGATACCGGTAATAAGCATTTTTGAGTGTTTGGATAAACAACTTATATTGGTGTCAAACCGGTAATAAGAAGTTTTTAAATAAGTTAAATCATTCTAACTTATAATAAGTTGATAAGTGTTTTTGTAGAAAAACATAAGTTATTTAAAATAAGCAATCCCAAATACCCTCTAAATGTATGGTTTCTCATTATATCCTTAATCATACGATGGAGAAAATTTATCTCTCTATAATTAAGGGTAGGTTTGTTGTTTTGTTAATTAAGAAATGTAATAATTAAATGTTTCTAAAATTGTGTGTATTTTTTATTGTGGACATTTATTTGGGAACAAAAAGGGAATATCATTTGTTTGTAACGGTGATGATTATAGAACAAGGGAAATGTTCATTTGAGAAGTTGTAAAGAAGTGATCTTAGCCTTTTATCTGGTCAATATTCTGACTTTGACCGTTAAGTACCGGATAATTCCTCACATGAATATGCAGAAAATTGAGGGGTAGTTTCGTAAACTTTACAAATATGTGGTAAATAGGTTCATATGTGAATTCATGTGATTCATATATGAACTATATGTTCATATGTGAACCTGTTAATTCGTTCACGTGTGAGCTATTTGACTAATTCATACATGAACCAACAGTTTCATATGTTAATCAGTTAATTAGTTCATATGTGAATCACAAGGGTTCGTGTGTGAATCAGTTAATTAGTCTATATGTGAATCGGTTAAAATAATTCATATGTAAATTACACAGGTTCACATATGAAAAATATATAGTTCATATGTAAATCACATAGGTTCACATATGAACCATTTTGCCGTGTATTTGTAAAATTCACGAAACCACCCTTTCTATATTCCGCATAGCTGCAATTTTTGAGCAGTCAAAGCCACCATTATTAATCAATCAAATCCGATCTTCGCCGTATAAAGGGCTAGGATCACTTCTTTACTTCTTCTCAAAATAACCTTTGTATATAGAAATGTTGCAAGATAATATTTTTAACTTTCTATATCACACAGATGAAATGTATTCAATAACCTGATATTTCTAGAAGTCACAGGTTTCAATCTCACCTAAGGTGAAGCATCTGTTGAGTTTCACTGTAGCATATAAATATCATATGCTTAAAACATAATCATATTTTGATTCATACGCAATAAAAAAAAGTCCGATAATGAACGTATCAAGATGACGTGTTAACATGTCGTGAATTTGAAACGAATGATATCTAATTAGGTGAAGAATATGACAGTCTCTTTAATTTATCTGATTTGGTAGTATTTCGCTTGACTTGTCATGCTCGTAGCCAAGTCTTTTCATCATCGATGCTAAGTATTTTTTTTTTGTTAGATGTGCCTTCGTTTTAGGTGATGTCATTTTCTTTCCTATCCTTTTTAATGAATACGTGTCTTAATCATATAATTAATTAAGGACAATAAAGGGTTGTTTACCATATTTTTTTATTAAGTCATGTATGGATAAATTTGTCTGTCTGGATAAATGAGTGTTGTTGTTTACTTTTTTTTTATCTGAACCAACAGTCTGAATAACATAAATGACCGATTTCCCTCCCCAATATTAATTATTTGAACATCAAAACAAAAAATTATAAAGAGACCGAATATGGGGTGTCTCATATGGGAAGGAGGTGGTGCTTTAAATAAGGGGTAGAGGTGTTATTTTTATGGCTGAATGGAGACAACACACCATTTTTATCTATGCGATTAAGCTATGTTCTGTGCGAATAAGCTGTAAGTAAACAACCGAAATGAGCTGTGCCAATAAACCAGATAGAGCAATAAGTTTAATTAAGTCGCAAGTAAACAGCCCCTTAAGTTAACCCCAAAAAAAGTTTTTTCATAAAGACTCAATGTTAATAGTTATCAGTAGTATTTCTTGAAGTTTTAGTTTTTTGAGTAAGACACATAATGCTAAGACAACATTAAGCATGAACCAGTTGTTTTTACATGTTAAAATACAGAAAAACACATTACATAGGTAACAAAGACAAAGAAGCTTTCTACAAAATGAAACGACTGTTTTTATATTCATGATTCTCAGATGGGCAAAATTACTATCCTAACCCCATTTACCGTTTTAAATAATCGCTTTCTTCGTTTTTTTTCTTTAACGTAGATGGTTTAGAAAAACCTCATAAAACTTATGTTACTGTTAGCCTTGTGATTAAATCATACTTTGATTCGCATTTGGGTTTTTTTATATAATTAGCTCAGAGCATTTTCAACAAATTCTCTAAAACATATAAAATCAGGATTTTGTTTTCTATCTCGTTTCAATAGATTTTTTATATTGTTCTGTAAAATAAATAAATTAAAAAAAAACGCCAACTTTATAAATTTTTTAAAATCTAATGTACAGAAAGATAAATTAAAAATTTATTCATACTAATCAATAAAATTGAATTATTATTATTTTATATATAAAAAATTAAAAAAATATATTAAAATGATCGATTTATAAAATATTTTAATAATATAATTAATGTTAAAAAAAAATATAACCAACATTGTAATTTCTAAAATAAACATTTTATTGATGTAATATTTTTGTAAATTTTAACTTTTAAATTATTTAATTTAAAAAATTTATTAAATACAACATTATTCATAGATTTAATGACTTTTTGTTACGATTTACCGTTGAATATAATTGCTTTTTTAGGAAAAAAAAAAAGGATTTAATTAAGCTTTGACCAAGTTTGACGCACATGGAGGGTGGAGGGGGACATGTGATCTGCCCAAGGTAAAGTGGCATCATGGCAACAAGGGGTATGTCTTTATTCTGGGTTTATTCCCTTATTTATTATTATTGCTATTATTTTTTATTTATTTTTTTAATTAACATACATCCAAAATATTATTCAATATTATATAAATTAGAATATTACAAATTAAAAAAAAAAGGAAATTACAATGAGGTCCTTGTGTTTTGTTCAAAATTTGGATATGAATTCTTAAACACACCATTTGTACAGAAGGTTTTTAACTTCTCATTTTTATAATACTGGTGGTCTCTCAAGTTAACATTGTTGACTTGAAGTCGGTGAGCCACTCCATGTCGCCCTTTTGTGTGGGGGGCGGGCGATTTCGTCGAGATTCAAAACAAATTGGTGGTGATAGTCCAGACGTCGTTGATACCAAACCAAAATGTGTGAAGATGGTAGGTGTGCAACACTTGAGAAGAAGGTTGATGTGCACCGTTGGATGAGGTAAAGGTGACGTCAGACGACCGAAGAGTTGGGTGCAAGCAGATCGGGAGGGAGTCTCTGATTGATTCACTGGGCTTTCACCGTCGGAGAACAGAAAGAAGGGATGGGTTTTCAGTGTTGGCGTCGATTTGCAGAAGAGTGGGGAATCATGTTTGAGTAAATATATGTTTATTATATAAAATATTTAACATGAAGATTTTTGAAAATAAAAAAAGGTAAAATGACTAAATTGCCTCATGTAAAAGGAATATGCCTCAGCTTAAATGGATTATTTAATGGTGTTAACTCGAGGGATCGTAGGTGTTGTGAAAACGAAAAGTAGTGTGTTTAAGAGGCCATATCCAAATTTTGAGCAAACCACAAGGACCTTCATTGCAATTCACTCTTTTTTAATACTATATTTTTTTAATTAACCTGGATATCCAACTCGCTATGCGAGCCGACTAATCTCAGGATAACCACCTGCTTTGCAGATAGCCCGGAGTCACCGCATTTGAACCTCCGTGGTCACAAGAGGATTTTTATTCCTCCTTGGATTTGAACCTGAAACCTCCTGGTACTTTTTGATCTTTGGAGCCAAACCCAAACCAATCAGGCACCACCCTTGTGGTTTAATACTACATTTTAAAAAATTATTATAAGACGAAGCAAATATCTATTACGATGTGTTCTCAAAACTTTTATTTACGAAGAAAGAAAAATGAAAAATGAGAGGAAAATAAAAAATAATAATAATAAGTTTTCTCCTAAATATAAAAAAATGAAAAATCTTTTTAGAAAATTATTAAAATTATTTGAGAGTTAATTTTTAAAGTCTTTAGGGCCCGGCCCAATAACATGTTATGGGTTTGAAGAAGGGACATCTCTATTGGGCCTAACCCAACACTTTGAGAAATGGGTATGACTTGGATTTTGAAGTCACTTGAATCTAGTCTTGATCATCGATTGACATCTATTGGATGTGAGGAGAATCGAACCGATTCAAGATTTTGCCAACCGATCTCATCCGATTAATATATATAATTCGATCAAATCCAATCCAATGGATGATTGGATCGGTTTGGTTCCATCTGTTGGATACTTTTATTAGATATCCATCGGATATC